AAACTACATTCAGCTGCAAGGCCTCAGATCGAGATATTGGAGGTTTTGCAATCACCTCTTAATTGCACTCGTTTTCAGGTCCACCTTGACTCGTGTGATAGTACCTGTTAGGGTCCCAGCTCTGGGCAAATAGTTAACCCCCAAGCAAAAATAAAGAGTACATTTTTATAATAAAATGATCAACAATACATTTTTGTCAGAAAATGACAATGCAACAATAAAAAAATATGAAATTAAATTTTTAGAGTAGAATTCATAACAATATATTTTATGATTTATAAAATATATATCTAAAAAGCATACTTTTACTCTGAAAGCATAAAATTACGTAAAAACTATTTACATTTCGGCATTAAATAACCCAATGAGGTTGATATGCAGTCAACAAAATCACCCAGACAACAATACAACTGACATGAAAGAACTCTTATAGGATCCTTCAAATTCTTAAAGAAATCAAACTGTATTTCAAAATATAATTGCGACAAAACTACAACATAAAACACACATATCATTGCTTCTTGTAATTATGTCCACACCACAAACATGTATACTCACAAATGTTGAGTATCATCTACTATGTATTAAACTGCGAAAGCAAAATAACATATATCGATTTTTTATTACTTCAAATCTCCCAAGAAAATTAAATTTCGACATTAAATGTCGCATAAGAATCGATACCCACTTAAACAAATAAATCAATTCAAGTTTAGTAAATATTACTAATGTTCCCGGCATTGATGAGCGGGTCCTTCGTGACCTTTTCTTTGGAATAATGTGGAACATCATCATCTTAATTATGCAATTATTTTCTAATCAAGTTTATGTGCTATTCATTTTAGTTGTTGCTGCAGTTGAATGTCCATAAGTGATGTGATATTATGTTATTTGATGTTGTTCTTTATTTGCCATTCTGTAGCGCAAGCCCACAAGAGCCGACGAAAGACGGCCTTCGCCTAGAGCTACAGGCTTCATTTTCTCGAATCCATATTTGTCCTTCTATCTGAGAAAGCTTTTGTATGCACTTGACAGTATATATATATATATATATATATATATATATATATATATATATATATATAGTCACGATCTGATGAAGATATGTAAGAACAGGGCTCCTGTTTTTCGGCATGGGTTAATATTTTTATAGCGATTAACTAAGCGTAGCTTAGATGTGGCACAAGGCCGAAATTATGGAGCACCGTGTGAAAATCGAAATCACTACACAGTTGTAATTGATATAGTGAGGCAAGATTGCCGACCATTACACAACGCCAAAATGCTGAATGGTGAACATTTATATAAGATGTATAAAATGAGGTTAAAGTTAAATCAGTTGGTAAAGGGTTATATGAAACAAAAATAATTAAAAAAAATGGATATACAAATAATCCAATGGACAAACTTTACAAGCTGGCTAATAACGAGAACAAAGGTTTGCATAATTTGGTAAAAGCGGTGATCCATTTGTTTTTGTGCAAATCATTTCAATTTGACCTATTGTATATGAACATTATTCATCTATTTCATCTTAATTTTAGATACATTTGATCGCATGCCTCAGTAAACAGCGCGGGACGAAATTAAAGAATATACTCTTGGTGAGGTTTGAACGCACAACGCTTTCTCTCCAATAAGCACATTTTATAATGATATAAACTACATGAACTCCGAGAAAAAACTGTTTTAAATCTCAAATGAAGGGACAAAAAGTTGTATCCGATACCTACTCTTTAATTATAGTTATAGATAGAAAGATATAAAACGGAGAAGAAAACTGAAAGAAAATATGAAAGAAAGAATGAAAAAAAAAAAAAAGAAAGAGAAAAGAAAAATGTGCAGTCCAAGAAAGGAAAGCATTATTGGAAAAGAATAAAAAAATGTTAAAGCAAAGAGAGACAGGCGTAATACTCCAAAGAAAGGAAGAGTAAGGAAGAAAAAAGAAGGAACAAAAAACAGAATGGGTGAAAGTAACAGCTGAGGAAGTAAAATAAAGAAAGAGGTCCGATGAAAGAAATACGAGTCAACATTTAATAATGTCTGGAATTGCTTCATAGAAAAAAAATATCAGCATAATATACGTTTACAAATGCAGCAAGTTAAGATATGAATGGTGGAATAATGGATAGCAGCTCGGACTGAGGAATCGGAGTGCCGAGTTCGAATTCTAGTCGAATCCATTACATTCACTTACGTACTGATACCATCTTTTTCTCCTCCCACATTGGGTAAATAGCAGGACAGACCGGAAAAAATCTGCCACGTCAGTCATAGATAGAAAGATCGCCTAAGCGTGTATCACGCATAGCCGACTTAATATATCGTTGGCATAGATGAGAAAAAAACTAAACGCGATTCTAAAGAATGAAAAGTTGAAAGGAAATGAGCTACCCTCGGGCGACAGATCATGTTAAATCGTCGTCAACCACGAAAAGAAGATGTGTCAAATACTGAAAATGGCTCTCCCAAGAGATCCTCGAGTGAAAATTGAAAGATTGAAAGGGTAATGAAGTCAAAGAAATCTTGTTAGAGAATTGAGAATAATTGTTGAAAAGGAATGTGACTGTTATATCCATCATTACAAGTCCTGACTGTTCTCCCGAAAATAACAAAAGAAGAGACAATCATAGCAAGATTAATAACTACTCATCAACTCAAATACCGAGTAGGTCAATGTTAATTTATTTCGAAATCTTGCTGCCACTTGATTTCAAGTGAAAGGCATAAGAAAATGCTGATAAAAAATCCCATTAATTCAAAAATATCTTTAATGATTACTGCCTAAAGTTTGAAAAGGAAAACTACAGGATTTGGGAGAGAATTCCCTATCCAGATCTTGAAAACTATCGTTCCTTTTTTTTATTTTACTTGTATGAAAGGTTGAAGTTTCCCCATGTCGATTTGGGGAAATATCGTAGCAGTATTCATCCAAACGAAACAAAAATGGCGTAGTGTCGCCTCCTGTTGAAAATCAATCTTGTAATATTTTTGATTTCTCTGAGGCGTTTGGCTAATCTAAATCAATTATTCTTTAATCATCTTTGGTTGCTTCACGTTACAGAAAAGGGTTTGAAATTGTATGGCGTCTCTCGGCATTGAGGACACCGGGAGATGGGGCATGGTCCAGTCGATGATGAAAAGCAGATAAGAAAGAAAGAAAGAATGAAAGAAAGAAAGAATGAAAGAAAGAATGAAAGAAAGAAAAGAAAGAAAGAATGAAAGAAAGAAAAGAAAGAAAGAAAGAAGTTCAGAGTGTGGAGTATGACGAAGATAAATGGAAATATATCTTTGAAAAAGAAGAATGAGGAACAGCAGGAGTTTCAAAGAAAGGAAGAATAGAAAAACGATGAAAGAAAGAAAATGTAAAAGAAAGAAAAAAATCTAAAAGCAAGCAAACACGAGAGAAAAAAAGAAAGAAAGAAAGAAGGAAAAATCTAAAAAGAAAAAAAAAAGAAAAATCTAAAAGCAAAGAAAGAAAGAAAGAAAGAAAAAAGAAAGATGTAAGACTGTAAAAGAAAAAAGAAATATATAAAAAGAAAGTCAAACTGTATGAATGCAAAAAGAAAGAAAATATGAAATAAGAAAAAAGAAAGAAGGACAGAAATGAGAAAAAGAAAGAGATGAACGTGTAAAAGAACAAAAATATTGCAAATAAAAATATATATTGAATGTATGAATGAATGAAGGAAGGAATAAATAAATGATAACATCTAAAAAGAAAAAAAGACGAAGAAAGAATAAAAAAGAAAAAGACAAAGAAAGAAAGGAAAAAAGAAAATGGTGAAAGCAAGTATAGGTAGACATACCAACGGAAAGAAACATGTAAATAGAAAAAAGACGAAAAAGAATGAAAAAAAAATGAAAAAAGGAAAAGACAAAGAAAGAAAGAAAAAAAAAAGAAAAAGAACGAAAAATTAAAAAAGGAAAAACAAAGAAAGAAAAATGAAAACAAAAAGAAAGAATTAAAAGAAAAAGACAAGGAAAGAAAGAATGAAAGGAAAACGCAAATGTCAAAGAAACAAAGAATGAAAAGAAGAAGACAAAAAAGAAAGACTAAAAACAAAAAAGGAAAGAAAAAAACACGATGAAGGAAAGAGAAAATTCATGTAATATAAAAAAAAATGAAAACAAAGAAATCTGGAAAGAAAAAACAAATGAAATGAGAAAAAGATAGAGGAAAGGAAAATAAAGAAAGCAGAAAGAATGAAAGAAAATATTATGTAAATAAAAATAAGAAGCAAACTAAACGAAATAAATCAATGAAAATAATAAAAATAAAAACTGAAAGAATGACAAGGAAGATGTAAAATCAGTAATAGACAAATAAATGAAAGAAAATAGTCAATGAAAGCGAAATAGAAAGAAAAAAATCCGATGAAAAAGTGTGTCTAATAGATTAATAAGACAATATTCTGAATTTGATTTTGAAATAATAAATCAGGCTCTTTTATCATACATCGTGTTTCGGAAAGCAGGATCCATTCATGTTTTTTTTTTTTTTTTTTTTTTATTAAAGGAGAATTTTCATTGCAAATATTATGCCTTAATCAGGTTATCAAAATTGTGTTTTGTACCGTGAGGTGGAACATCATTTCACTTCTAGAAAAAGTAATCGCTTTTATTCACCTCCTTTAACAACATCAATATCTAGTTATATATATATATATATACATACATATATACATACATACATTCATATATATATATATATATATATATATATATATATATATATATATATATATATAAATTAAATAAATTAATAAGCTTTTAAAATATACACCCAGACTAAATAAGATTTAACATTAATATTAACATTAATAGGGATTTCCGCAACAATATGGATCCATTAAAATGAATAATAAATCCATCTCTTCAGCACCCAAATAATAAATAGGAAGGTGGACTTGGATCTTATAGTCTCGGGTGTCAAACGTTCTAGGAGGGGGATAACTGAATTCAAAACTTCAGGCGACCTAGACATTATTCTCCAGCATATGAGGAGAACGGCAAGCGCCAAGCTGTGGGAAATGAAAATGAGGAAGAAGAATAGAATCATACAGTTATCGGATTGATGATGATATTGATGATGACGATGATGACGATGATGATGATGATGATGATGATGATGATGATGATGACGACGATGATGATGATGATGATGATGACGACGAAGATGATAAATTATTCTCACTTGTCAATTCGTCTTCTGTTTCTTTGAGTCAATAATAGTTTAAGTTATGATTTAATCTCTCAGGTCATATGTCACTTGTGGTGAGATTTTAAATCCTTTAAAGACCTAGTTTCTTTTATCTTTATTTCTCTCTGATCAGTCATTCAGTTTTTATTTTCTCCTCCGTATTTTTTCATTCAATTTTTTTGTTTTCCCTATATCTATTCTTTCCCTTCCAATCTTTTAATTCTTTCTTTATTTCTTTCTTTCCTTCTTTTCTAATTATCTTCGTCATTTTCTTTTTTAACCCTTTAATCCATTAGATCAAGTGTCTCTTGCTGTGCAATTGTTGAGTTTAAACGTAATTCTAACCATATTGTCTTTATTCCTTTAGGTTTTCTTCTTTTTTTCTTATTGTCAATCTTCTTTCACGTTCATCTATTCCTGTTTTCTTTCATTCTTTCTTTCTTTGGTTCTTTCGTTCCTTCATTTTTTTCTTTCTTTCTTTATTACTATCTTTTGTTCTTTCTTTTTTCGTTTTTTTTCATTTTTCGTTTTTTTCTTTCTTTCTTTCGTTCTTTTTCGTTTCTTCTTTCTTTCTTTCATTCTTTCGTTCTTTCTTTCTTTCGTTCATTATTTCTGTCTATCTGTCGTTCTTTCTTTTTTTCTTTCTTTCTTTCTTTCGTTCATTATTTATGTCTGTCTTTTGTTCTTTCTTTTTTTTCGTTTTTCTTTCTTTTTTCGTTTTTTCTTTCTTTCGTTCTTTTTTCTTATCCGTTTTTCTTTCTTTCTTTCATCCTTTCGTTCTTTTTTTCTTTCTTTCTTTCTTTCGTTCATTCTTTCTGTCAGTCTTTCGTTCTTTCTTTTATCGTTTTATATTTCTTTCTTTCTATCTTTTTTCTTTCTTCCTTTCGTTCCCTCGCTCGTTCGTTCTTTCTTCCTTTATTCTTTCTTTCTTTCTCCTTTCCTTATTCAACCCTCACGTTCTTCCTTAGACTTTCATTCGTCATTTGTGTTTTTCCGTTTGAATTACCCATCAGAGTTCATTGTAATTAATCACAGTTTACAAATCACTAAGAGTGGGTTCAATTCACTCTAATTCCTCCCCAAAATGGTTAGATTTCCATAGAACAATTCAAGTATCGTGTGTTCTCTTTCTGTTCTTTTCTTAATTGTCTTGTTTATTCCATCATCGTTCATCCCTCGGCAGCCCCAAGATATTTATCGTAATTCAATCTTTCCTCCATGCCTATCTTTTCTTTCTCTCTTTTTCTTGCTCTTGAAGTAATCCGGATTTTGCTCACAAGTTCTTACGCATACGTCAGCACAGTGATTTCAATATTTTCCAAAAAGTGAAGACTGGTAACCCAATGCAGGAAGTCAAGAGAATAATTGAGAAGGAAGGCCGACTTATGCAATCGTTAAGAGTTATTCTAAGTGAAGCGACTGTCATGAAAGACTCAGCAAGAAACATTAGGACGAGAGAAAAGTGAAGAAATAGTGAAAGGCGAGTAAAAGGTGTGGGAATGCGGTCGTTAGGTGAAGAGAGAAAGAGAGAGAGGGAGGGAGAGAGAGAGAGTGAACTTAAAAAAGTGATGCAAGAATAACAGAAAGAAAAAAAAAGAAGAAGAAAAACAAAACAAATAATACTGAAAGAACAAGCAGTTAAAAATGGAATTAAAGAAAAAAAAACCCGAGAAAGGCTTAAGACAAATAAAGAAAACGTTAATCTTTTGGCAACAAATAGCTCTCTTAATCCGTGCAAAATTACGCTAACACAGCATATATGAAGGACCTACAATTCTTCTTATTCACCGCAATAGCACAGCTCATCCAAAGGAAGCTGAAATGCTTTATAAGTATTACGACGTTAAATATAATTATTTTTTTTACTAGAAATTATATATTCAGGCCTGTAAATGTTTAATACTGTTTATTATAAAACAGGGCATTTACTTAAATTTTTGTATCTAGAATAAGAATTCATAAACATAAAAATGTCTTAAAATAATTGTCGGACTTTGTCTATTTCATAATGTGTGACGTCATTTGTTTACATTTGGATACGCCATGAGCAGACATGAATGTACGTGAGAGAATCATGGAAGATTGTATTTTAAACACAGTAAATTCGACCTTGCTAACCGAACGCTCCTCTGTGGTCAAATCGGTTAAAGGCACGTCAAGCTCTATGACGGTTCCGTATAGGATACAGGTCCGATTCCAGTCGGAGGACGAATATTTTCTATGAAAATTTCTCGGACAGTCAGGCGGGTAAATGTTTAATACTGTTTATTATAAACAGAGCATTTAAAGAATGTTCAGTTATTCTAAATGGTCGTATATTTGTATCTATAAAAAGAATGTATAAACATAAAAAATATATATATATACATATATATATATATATATATATATATATATATATGTGTGTGTGTGTGTGTTTGTGTGTGGGCTATCGATAGCTGTGCTATCACGAAGCCACAAGGTATTGTGGCCGAGGGCTTGAACTGTTGACTTTTGTTGATCACACTAGATAACACGCTCTTTCCCAGAAACTGTAACTAAGGTCTGCTCCGTATAGTTGCAGTATGAATCACTCTTGGGTGTTGAGCAAACATAAATGTTCCTGTGCGAGCGTCTGCAATAGGGATTGTCTAGTAGACGGGTATCCTCGAATACGAGTGGACAACTATTATATATATATATATATATATATATATGGTGTTCCAATAATTTGGATCGATTTTAAATATTAATTAAGTTTAAGCGTCTAATGATTCTTTCTTTTCCTTTCAGATTTAACGACTTAAGTCTTTGGCAATTTCAACCATGGAAAGATTAACAATCAAACAACGTGCTAAAGTTATCGAAGCCTATTACGAAAATGGACGTTCAAACAGAAATGCATTTCGTGCATTTTTTAGGTCAACATAATCGACCGACCGAGAGTGCAGTTGGAAAAAATTGTTCGTAAATTCAAACAAACTGAGTCGGTGGTAGATGTGAAAACATCATTGCGTGCTCGTTTGCGCTGTTCAGCTGAAAACATTGCTGCAGTGTATGAGAATGTGGTCAAATATGGAGACACCCCTATTCATCATCGCGTGCAGGAATTGAACCTCTCCACAACCACAGTACATCGAATTTTGATAAAAAGATTTGTCTCTACATGCTTTACAAAATTCAGTTAACACAAGAACTGAAACCTGCTGACCATTTGAAGCGCCGTACATTCGTCAATTGGGTGCATGAGCAAAGAAAAGCTGATGAAGACTTTTCGTAAAAAGTCCTCTTTAGAGATGGAGCCCATTTTCATCTTGGTAGATTCGTTAATAAGCAGAATTGTCGCATTTTGGCTGATGAAAATCCAAGGAAGATAGTTGAAAAGCCACTGCATCCACAAAAAATCACTGTTTGGTGTGCATTTTTTGCTAGCGAAATCATAGGTCCGTGTATTTATAAATTTGAACGTACAGTTTCGTAATAGACTTCGATAACTTTAATATGTTGTTTGGTTGTTAATCCGTCCATGGTTGAAATTGCTAAAGACTTAAGTTGTTAAATCAGAAAGGAAAAGGAAAAAAATCATTAGACGCTTAAACTTAATTCACATTTAAAATCGGCCCAAGTTATTCGAACACCCTATATAAGTTAAGTTTAATGATTTAGAAAGTATTGATTCCATATGGAAATAAACTGAAAGTATAGAGCAACCCATCGAGGATCAAGCTTATTACTCAGTCGCAACTGATGCAGCAAGGCCAGTTTGCTAACCATTGCACCACATAGAAGCAGTGAAATTTATTTAGATAATACGGTCTTTGGAAAATAATTAATAGAAGTGACTTAAACACAAATACAAGTTAAATTTGTTAAAATATTATTTATCAAAAATATTTATAACAATTTTCCCAGTTCTTATTACTTTGCTTCATTTTTGATATATTCCAAACCACCTTCGGGTTTCTCTGACAAATATTCCACCTGTAATGACAATGGTTCGTAGGTGTAGGCTTTAAGAAAGCTTTATTCAACTGAGAATACAAGGTTTGCGTATAGTGTCCTTTTATAGTCCCAGTAAACAGAAATAGCTCTCTCAAAGGGGAGACCACTCTTCATTATTCATGGCACCAACTTCTGTTAAAACACTTCCTAAATATTTAAAGTTATGTAGCTCGTGTCTTGTGCTTTTTATCTAGCTGGCAATCATACATTCTGTCTTCGTACAAGTGATGGTCTTCTTCACGCTTGCCTTTACTATAATGTCTACGAGTTACAGCTGTCTTCCTTGTATGCCTGCCAACAAGACACTGTCATCTTCGTATTACCGTCATTAGCACCAAACAGAATATATTTCCACCAATATCAAGATGAAAGAATACTTTGTTGAACAAAGTCTGTGTATCGATCATTTTCGTAAAGCCTATATCAACCAGTGGGAATTAAACCCACTAGTTATGATCAACCAGACAAACACAATAAAAATTACCCTCCTTTTTTATTTTTTTAATCCTTTCATCCCCAGAGAAGACAATAATGCTACTAAGACGCAAGGGGGTCTGAGTGTTAGATAATATGACAATAAAATACTATTAAGGAAAGAAAGAGAAAGATAAAAAAAGAGTAATCAAGGAGACAGAAGATAACGGTAGACATTGCATTCAAATGTTTGGAGGTCAAAGTTGACTAGGAAACAAGAAGACAGAACAAAGTACGACAAGTGAGAAGTGCAAAAGAAGAAACTATAAGCCTAGAACTTGCGTTTACCTCTAGCCAATTCCAAATGTGAAATGACGAGAAAAGAAGAGATCAGAAGACTGGAAGAAATAGAAATTCAACACAAACCAAAAAGTATAAACGGTATTGATGAAATCCAATGACATTAAATGTCCTCAAATCCTTAATCGTCTTGTTTTTACGGCTTATCAATCATTTGCAGGTTATGTAAAGCCAGAAAATATTTTAGACTGTAAGAAATAGTTTATCTAAAAATCTAATACGGGAAATATTTCACATTATTCGGACTATTATCCCTATCCTTGTCGCCATATTTATTACAACGTTTCGGTCGTTGTACTCTCCGACCTTCTTCAGGTGGTTGGAATGTCGAACTGAACCTTTTATTTCGCTCACTGGGGTAGACTGTTCTAGTTCCACATGCCATCAGCGGTGTCGACATTTAGCCTGTTAGGGGTTGGGTTCATATCAGTGCATGTAATTCGTCCGAAAACTGGCTTCACTGAAAGCGTTACATTTGAAACGATTTCAGTGATAAATAAAAATGTTGACAATTAAAGGGAAATAACTTTTATATATATTTTACTATACGAAGAATAGTTATTTATTATCTTAAATAAACAGCACAATTTTAAATGATACATGGTTTTAAAAAGCACAAACGAGGCTAATTGGTTATGGATGTAACGATCGTGATAAGAGTTTCGCCTACTGGCCAGAGTCCACTTAAAATAATGCTTGAAGTAATAAAAATATGTCGAATTAAAAACATAATTCCATTAATTATTTGGAAAATTGCTTTGTTTACGTTTTGAATACATTGGATATAAAATGAATTTCTACCTAAATGGTAATAATATTATTAGGTTTGGTCTTAGTGGTGACGATAACAGATGTGGTGATGATAGATGCCCCACTCTCTCTCTCTCACTCTCTCTCTATCTCCCTCTCTATCTTTCTCTCTGTATATATATATATATATATATATAATTTAAAAAAAAACGACCACTTTAAGGCTCCATTGTAATAATTTATTTCACCAGCGAATTTTCTTCTTCTCTGCATCCTCAGACTTCACTTTCAAAAGGTGAAAGGGAAAATTAAATTAAAATTTACACTTGACGGGCAATATTAAGCTTATATAAGTTGATATAGAGGGTGGTGAGGGATGGTATGAGAGACATGGTCGAGGTTAGAGAGGGAAGGGGGAGTTTTAAAATGTATTTTTATAATACTTAATATTGAGGAAGGAGGAGGTAAGGATCAGACATTGACCTATTTAATCGGTCAACACAACGGAAATGATATGGGAAAAAGGAAAAGAAGAAAAAAGAAGGAAAAAGAAAAAAAAGGAAGTAA